GAAAAACATATAAAATAATCACCCCTCGTGGCCTTGTGGCCAAATCAAGGAAAACCAAGATTTTTATTACATAAAAATAAGATTAAAGGTGAAAGTAAATGCAGTGTTCAGCATCATATTTTAAAATTCATATTTTTAATAATTATTATTAATTAGATTATTATTAATATATTATATTATTATTAATAATATTATTATATCAATAAATATAATATTAGTATTATATTATTAATAATACTACTAATAATATGATGTAATAATAATAATAGAAATGGTAATAATAATAATAATTATAAAGTTAATTTATAAATCGTATGTTAATAATATAATAACACGTTGTGTAACTATCACATTGATTTAATATACAAAAAAAAAGATCCAATCAAACATGTAATCATCACAAAGATACATTATAGTATAACGATGACGTCAAACAATATAAGATAAATTATACGGTATTTGCACGACAGCCGATACTGTGATAATGATTGATATATTATAACAAAATGATAGTCCATATTAATAACATATTTCTTTATCAACATAAAATAAACAGAATTTAATTACAAGTACATTCATGTTCTTATCACTGTTACAATACACCTGGAGAAATCCATGATTGTTGATAATTATTTATCGCAACTCGTCTATAAAAGTCTGCAATTTCGAAGACCACCCACATTCGCTTTTTCTGAAGATCAGACGTAGCAAAACAATAATGCGTGCCTTTATTGTACTCCTCCTCGCCACTGTGGCATGCGCTAAGCTAGCACCACTGCAATCACACGGAGCAGACAGCATCCCCGGAAAGTACATTGTTGGACTTAAGGTAATTTTCTTGTTCTAATGATCTCTCTAAAATGTTAGTTTTACAGAATTAAGAGGAATATGCATACAGCATGCCTAAAATACAAATAATATTACAGTTAGGTTTAAACAGGATTATTTCTGTCTTCTATTTTTATCGACTTTATTATATTTAACTTAAATTTAATTTAATGGGTAGCCATTTCACTAGTGTGTGAGGCCAACTTATTGTATTTAAGTATTCCATCGATCTTTTAGGGCCATGCTGACTTGAGTGGCATCCCGAGTGAGATCCAAGATAGAATCACTAGGAAGTACAGAAACATCAAGGCTTTTGTTGCTGAGCTCGATCAGAGTGCATTGCTCAAGGTAAATTTATTGAGACCTATTTGTATTTCTTGTTTCATCTATTCCGTGCACTGATGATGTAATCTCAAAAGCCGGGCACTCACTGCCTCGTACGGCGGTCGTAGAACCATTGGCCGAATCTAAAACTCTTATCCCTATGAGCGCTAATCGACGCGACACCGTCTGCTCATTATCCCTTGCATGATGCGTGTCGTGTCGTTTCGTCATAGAATCGTGTCGCTGTTAAAAGTACGATACAAAAGTTTGCAGTGAAAACACTGTAGCAATTTTATGGAAATCAATCCAGGCTTTGAACTTTTACTTCGAATATGGACCTAACGAAACATTGATTTAATACAGTTTATTTTATTGTATTCTTCATACACTTTTGTTTAGGTCTGTATTAAGTAATATTTTACATTGGGCTTACTTTTTAATTCCGAATTAACTGATACGATGAACGAATACCAAAGTTGTATTTTTTTGACAACTTGTCTCAGCTTTAATCAACGTTGACCTATATTTTTACTCTGTGTGATAATCAGTTTTGATGCGTGGCAATTCTATAAATCTTATAGGCCTATCCCAAATAAACACAGCATTTCCCCTTATTTCAAAGCTCCGCCAACTCGACATTGTTGACTACGTTGAGGAAGACAGCATTGTCAGAACTCAGGCCGTCACATGGGGCTTGGACCGTGTAGATCAAAGAAACCTGCCACTGGACGGTAAATTCTCTGTTAGTGGTAAGTTCCTGCCAAACCGACAGAAATAGTAAACCGTAGAATATTTTAAAACGTGTTAATTTATTGATTCCATATCGCGTGGTGACGTTGCCTCCATATCGTGTGGTTTATTGTAAATTCCATATTTCCCTGAAGGTACTGGATCAGGTGCCAACATCTACGTCATCGACACCGGTATCAACCCATCCCACAATGACTTCGGTGGACGTGCTTCCATTGCATACGACGCCACCAGAAATGGTGATGTAAGTGTATTTTGCTTAGATGACAATTGCAAAAATCAAAAGATCACTTTCTAATTAAATAGCCACACTCCCTTTCCTGGCACTGACGAGTAGTTAAACTCATGTACTTAAGCCTATATTTTGTTTATTAGGGACATATACTTAATAATGCAAGTTTCAGAGTTTCTAGCCATGGAGATACAGGCAAAGTTATCTTCGGAAAATAATTGTTTGTATTTCACAGGGTGTTGACTGCAACGGACATGGAACCCATTGCGCTGGAACTACTGCCAGCAACACATGGGGTGTTGCCAAGGGTGCCAAGGTCTATGGTGTCAGAGTTCTCGGATGCCTTGGATCTGGTAGCACATCTGATATTGTAGAAGGTACGGTCAGGTGTTATTTTTTCTACAATTTATATTAAATTTAATAATAATAATAACAATAATGATAATGATGATAATAATAGATCGTATAGGCCAACTTATAACAAAAATAATAATTTTTACCATATGAGTGGCAGATCTCCACGACTCCTCCCGCTGACTCCACCCTTGAAACACATAGGTCTAGGCCTAATAAATATGCCTACGTTCACTCGATAAAATCATGGTAATAGTGACAACATGTGAAATAAAAAATGATCATTAGTCTTAAAATATGCTGTTCCAATTTAATTGTACGTCCATTAACGATAACAAAATCTATTTTTTTTTTCAATTGTTTTTTTAATGTGTTTTTGTCAGGTATGGACTGGGTTGCCTCTAATGCAAAAACCCCTTGCGTCGCATCCATGTCTCTTGGTGGTGGTGCGTCTACAACTACCGATAACGCTGTTTCAAGATTGTCTGGTAAATGCGTAGTGTCGGTTGCCGCTGGAAACAGTGACGCTGATGCATGTAACTACTCGCCAGCCAGAAGCAGTGATGTGAGTATTACTGTATTCAGTAGCGTATTAACTCTTACCCCAATGGCTAAAGCCAGGCGCCAAGATGAGATATCATTCAGGCATCATTTGCAAAAATCAGCTGAGTCCTTTACAACGGGTCCTTTAAAAAGCAGAGCGTACCATGTAAAAAAAATCAAAAGCGTCAAAACACCGGTGCGGACGAGAGGTTAGACCCGTACACCCACTGGGAGCCCTCCTCTCCACCCAAGGATAGTAGGGTCCAAAAAAACCTTATCCAGGGGCCTTATGTCTAACATTTAGCATCCTCGTATAGTTACCAGCCGTATTGCATCGTGCGGAACGGTCCGCATTTCAAGGTGATCTTGGATGAAACACACATTTTGCAGAAACACATGGGTGATCATAAATTTGTCATGCATTTATTACAAGTCTAGGCGTGATAACGAATTATCACGTACGAATTCAGGGCAAAATGATATTGAATCCCGACACGATGGCGTGCATTTCGATACTTATCTGAGATTAATCAGTGGACCTTTCGGTGTAATTGTCTATAGTAATGCTATATTGCCACAATGTCATTAAAATTATCATAACAAAACTCCATTTAATTTATCATCTAGGCCATCACTGTCGGAGCTACCACTATTAGTGGAACATGGTCTCAGTATGACGACAGATCTTCCTTCTCCAACTACGGCAGCTGTGTCGATATCTTCGCTCCAGGTTCTGACATCACCTCAACATGGCACAACAGTAACACTGCCACCAACACCATCAGTGGCACCTCCATGGCTTGTCCACACGTCTCTGGTGTTGCAGCAGTTCATCTAGGCAACGGTGTCAGCAGAAGAAATGTCAGGTCTACAATCTTGGGTGATGCCACCTCTGGAGTTGTCAACAACCCTGGAAGTGGCTCTCCAAATCTCATGCTTTATTTGGCTTAAGGTACGGTAACTATTTTAAATACGGTAATTTTAAATATATTTTAACACTTCGTAATTTGCCTATTAAACAGATTTTAAGATGATTTCATGGTTAGTTACAAATTAACAAGGAATATATTCCAGCACTACAATAATTAATAGTTCACCTAACTGGTCCCATTTGCTATAAGGATATTAAACTGTGGTCTCAAAGTATCTAGAGAGCTGAAATTAATAATAAATCTAACCCACACTATTGCCCCTCTCATAATCACCATTGTTGACTTGTTTAATCCCCTCAGTTGCATATTGTAGAATTCTTTGTAATAAGTGTCTAAGTATTCTCATCCCTGAAGATGACCCAATAAAGGTCGAAACGTCGAAAATGGCCTCTCTTTGTTTATTCGGAGTAACGTTCATTCTATGTTATTTAAACATAATCAGTGCATCTGTTGGTAACTATTCTGGGCTTATTTTCTTACTTATTTTGTATTTCAACTCTCTCTGTCAAAACAACCTTCTTTGTTAGTCTAGACATTCCGTTCCTTTAGACTCGGCTCAAATGTTTTACTCAGCTCAAACGTTTTACAGCATACAATCAGCAGTATGAATACCGCCATTCAATTTGTTATTGATAAATTGAAATTTAGTTCTTAATTGTTAAACGTATTCGTTTCATAAATGTTTTTTAATGCGTCGTTTGTATGACTTTTTATGTATATGCATTTCTTTATATCTATTTTGATAATAAAGGTAAAGATAAAGGTAGGAGAATAACCCATAACTTGCAGGTTATTGTGCTGAATTGGGTATGGGCGTGGTCCGTGACTACCTAGCATTGATGACCAATGTGTGTTGAAACAGCACCCAACATTTAGGCCTATATTATTCATGTCTTCCTGAAAGTTACGTATGTTTTATTTCAGACCAGCTGATCCTTTATGCATAATATTACACCCAGCGTGAGTCGACGTGTAGAAATATATACAAGATGAAGGTGAATCGCAGAAAAAGAACATCCTGTACCCTATTCTTGACATATATTTTATTAACCAAAATTATATTGATTTACTTGATTATAACTCTTCGTTATTGTTGGAATTATACGCTATCAAAATGAAATAAATCAGTTAAAAAAATATATGGTACTTCAAAATGTATGTTTTGTTTTGTATTATATTAAGTTTGTTCAGTGTCTAGGTTGAAGGCTAAGTCACTACTCTAAAGCCGGCCACTCACTGCGCCCCACGATCGTCTATGGACGCGACGCGATTCATGAACGACTCGCGCCCAACGGATCGTTTATTGACGATCCGTGCAGACCGCCACCGACAGTTCAGACGACGTCGCATCGTCTAGCGCTCGCAGGGAGCGGAGTTGGATTGGTCGGCGGTTGTGCGAGTGAGTGCCCGGCTGGATTGTTCTAATATTTTGCTCAGCAGTGTTGTTTGGTCATATTGCTGCTGTATTGTTTGCTCCTGTTGCTGCTACTGATGTTGTTAAATGATGTTTTGTCATTACTGCTGCTTTATTGCTGTAGTCGTGCAAATAGATGGCGTTTTCTCTTAATTATTTGTAATATTATTCATCAGTAGCATAATTATTATACATCAATATTATTCATCAGTAGCATAATTATTATACATCACACACAAAATAATAAAGGCTAGTTGAACGACGTTTCAAAGATACCCACACCCAATTAACCCACTTATTATCGTAAGTCAGAAGCACATAACATTTGCATTAAATGATTTCTTTTAATTTAGTGGCAAACTGGGCGGGGGAGGGGGAACACGTGCCCCCGTGCTAATGGACCCACGTACCCCTGTGTTTACCCCTACTTAATTAATCGTGGGGATCAGGTTCCAGTTACGAGCTGCTCAGTCGGTAGAAGCTTATGCAACCATAATTAAAAATACAGAAACCTTTCTATGATACAAAATACTGATAATTTATTAAAGGGGATTACAATCGGGATTTAAACGTGGACATAAATAAACTTAACACTACTCACGTGAGATTATTCTTTCATTCATTCTTTATTCAGCCAAAAAAATTTACAATACAATTTATACAGTTAAAACAACAGAAATAACAAACAACTAGTAAAATAACCTAAGATGGCTAGGATCGATGATAGTGACGGACTTTAGCCAGTCTTAGGAAAGCACAGAAAACATAAATAAAGAAATATCAATTATTTATTTACAAGAAATTAACTAAAGAGAAATTAACTGTTAAAATAAATAATAAAATTAATTAACTAATTAATAAAATTAATTAATAAATTAAATAAATTAAATTGAAGATAAAATATGATTGTCCATTCACCAAACAGTAAAGTGTTCGAATATGCAAACTAATGAAGCGAAACCAATGCCGGAGGAGTTCAAATCAAACTAATTAAATTAAATTAAAATAATTAAATTAAATAAAAATAAATAAATAAATAAATAAATAAATAAATAAATAAATAAATAAATAAATAAATAAATAAATAAAATAAATAAATAAATGAACAAATTAAATAAATTAATTAATAAATTAATCAAATAAATACATAAATTAAAAAATTAAATAAATTAAATTGAAGATAAAATATGAGTGTGTCCATTCACCAAACAGTAAACAGTGTTCGATTATGCAAACGAATGAAGCGAAACCAATACAGAAGAAGTCCAAACCAAAGTTAGGGCTTAAATGTATAGCAGCGAATTCAAAAAGCGGAAATTGCAAATGAAGAATTCCGATCAGAATAATGAGGTAACACCATAAACCATCCCATGTTGAACAGGCATAGGCCTAGGTGATCTTCAGCAAACTCTCCTCTCACTGGACTTCTTGATTCTATTTCTTTCACTTCAGAATGTTCCTGGCATCTTAATAGGTTCCTCCTTTTGTGACTTAATAAGTTCTATATGGTCTAGGCCTTTTTTTTCAATTAATCATGAGTAAGTTTTGGTTCCCAATCCTAATTAACACCCCTAAGTCACTTTTATGTTTTCAACAGGGACCATCTGTACCTCATCATTACCAAATACGGTAAATCATTAGCAAAGATATATGCTAATTATGTATACCAAATAAGGTAATGAATGTGGTTGGAAGAGGTACTAACAACTTATACCTCCATGATTGGAGCAACAATAACAAAGTTTTGCGGGATTTTTCACAATTTTTCCGTCTTCAAAATTGTACTGTTCTTTCATTGCTGTTACATTCCAGATAGGCTGTGTGATATGTATACATTTTGTATTATGTATGTGTGTGTGTGTGTGTGTGTGTGTGTGTATTATGCACATATCTTAATATTATCTTTTAATTTATGTGTGTGTGTGTGTGTATTATGCACATATCTTTATGTTACCTTTTAATTTGTTTTTCGTTTTCTGTATTAAAAGTGCTAATGTTTAAATTTTGATTTTGAAAAGGAAGAGCTGCCTTGTCTGAGGGCTGGTAGAAATTAGGTTTGGTTTTACATTTGTGTTTTTAAATGCCTTTGTGTTTTAATTTTTCGAAATAATTGTTTTAACATTAGCGTTTGTATTTTGAAATGTTTAATAGCGGAACTTAAAAAGTGTAAAAAGGAAATGATAAATGGATAATATGGGTTTCGGTGTTTGTACTCCTGACTGGAGAAGGGGAGGGAGGGGTAAGACACTGATTTGTACTTTCTGTTAATCTCTTAGATTTTAGATTTGTCATGTTTTCATTTTGTTAGTTTTGTTTTTTTTTCTTGGACCTACGTGTGCCACTGTTGTAAAAGACAGTTTCGTTTACAAAAAAAGAATATAATAGTGTAGGTTAGTGCTTAATGACTATCACAGGGTATATCCACGGAGGAATTATTCCTCCATGGTAAAGATTTATTTTGCTATCATGGAGGTATTACGCAACACTGAGTCATTTAATTGGTTTGTCCTGGAAGAGATAATACAACTTACATACTAAAATAATCCTTAATTACAAACTAAATATAATTTAAAATGATTACTAAAACATGAAATTAAAATATATTATACATATGTATATGATGTATTATGTTAAAAATATATATATACATATATATCTTATAGTTATATAACATATACATAATAAAGACAATTTTAGTTTCAAGTGTGGAAGTTAGGTTAACCCCCCGCCCCCACCCCCTTTGGGATACCCACAATTCAACAAGAGCGGCGCTTGGATAACGTTTGGCTAACCTAAAAAAGAGTTACATTACATCAAGACAAAAGAAGACAAAACAATAAAAAAGAACAACCACCAGCACAATAGTGAAACACAGTCAGCAGGTCAACTTATCTATATAAACATGTGTAACGTATATACAAATCTACGGGTCTGTTTCCCTATTGGGTAAGTGAAGAGCAAATGATTTTTATACCTGGAAAAGAGGCGTACCACGCTTTTCCAACCCATTTCTTCCAGTTCTTAAATATTCAAAAATCTGTATCTCATTAACCGACACCCTTTTTGTCTTAGAAAAAAATGAACAACACATAAAAAAAATTCCTCCGGAGCCTAACATTAAAGAGGATATTTATACTGTATTGGTCTTGAACCTGTCCCCAAAATGGAGTTTCTATTGTACATCAATCAATCAATCAATCAACGATTTGCATAGCCCAATAAAAAACTACAGAATGCAATGTTAAGGGGCGCAATGACAATGGTATAAAAAATAAAATAGAAATAAAATGAAATAAATGATGATGATAATAATAATGATCATATAACCATATAACAATAGATGACGGCCCGGAGGATTGAGTAAATTCATCTGCCAAACAGCTGTGACTCGGGATTACAGGTGCATATAGCTTTGTGTTCCTGCATCTCGACTTCTGTGCCTATATGGCAATGACAGGCTTCACAATGAAGGCAATTGCAGTTGTGTCTGTCACACACCTGCAAGTAAGAACAGTACGACGTAATATAATGTTTTGTGGTTGGAATCACATGTAGCAAAAACGTGTATATTAGCCTATAGATGTATTTCCGATTCTCGTAGGCGTAATAAATAACTTGCTTTTATTTCCTTGTTTCAACCCATCTACGTAAACCATAAAAAGTTATTTATATCGATGATGAAGGATCATCGCTATAAATAAAGGCCTATTTATAGCGATGATGACGGGAAAAAAACGAGAAAACGAATATTCAGGTAGGCTTATATTGAAAATCTTTATTATACTGTATAATAATTTTAATAATAGGCTGCGGCTTCCAATATTTAATCTGTTGCTAACATGGGCTAATACAAGATTAGAGAACTGGACCATGCGTATGATAGAATAAAATTAACAATAAGTTCCGCCACTCACTGAGACAGTGATTTTAATTTTGGGATGTCCTGTCTCATTTGTTTGTGCTTGTTTCTCGCTGCTTCTTTTATTGTAAATTTTAAAGTTTTTGAGAAAAATAAATGAAATGAAATGAAAAAATATATCCCAGAATTACGCCACATCATAAATAAATATAAATGCAGTCATACCTCACTTTCAACCATTTCCACCTCATTATCTGCTGCTGATAATTCTTCAAAACGTTTCTGTAGAATCAAACAGATTTTATTGACTTAAATAGAGTTGAGGATTTGTAATTAGAAATCCAGCACATAAACAACGAACACATTAAAGACATGTATTATGTAGGTCTACCCAATTTGGAGAAGACGTTAACCTTGAATCTGTCATAAGGAAGTGTGACTCCTGGGAGTGGAGTTGAACAGCTTTGATGCTTGTCAGTGTCAGCTGCTAGGTCCTGGCTTGCGTCCGAATTTTTACGACTACAATTGTACTACCTAAGCCTCATTATGATAGTTTATAAACAGGGGAGTAGGCTGGGGTGCGGGCGTTCCCCCCTCTAAAATGCAAAAAAAGTTTCGCTGGTGTAGGCCTAAGCCTATAGGCCTGCCTATTACTACAATGGGAAATTTGCTGGGTAGCAAGTAGAACTCGATTATTTATTTACTAATATCTTTAGCCAGGATGACACAATCATTTTAAACACATAAAGCACACATAATTATAAACCAATGATGTGCCTAGTCGTAAAACAAAATAAACACTTATTTTTTATCGCAAATGTGAATAAACACTACAATAATTCGAAATAAATACAGTGTATTCTTTTCCTTGCTTAGGCCCCATTGTTCACGTGCCAGTGACGCTAATGTGGCCTCATACTCGTACGGCATTTTCTTTCCACTAGACGAATTCGCCCGAAAATGCGATTTTTTTTTCGCATGTGCATTTCAATAATTAACTACAAAAATGTTTACTGCGCATGCTTATGACTATGGGCAATAATTCATTATTCGCACATTGGGCGAACTGCATACAACTTTTTGTGCCAGTGGATTATCATAATTCTTAAAATTTGGCGAAAAACTTGGTTATTGAGATAAAAAGCACTTAATGAGATATAGGCCTATATTTGAATATTTAAAAAATTGGGGAAAATATGAAAAAAGGGGCAGATCGTTGGAATTATCAAATGTCATTGACGTTTGCCTGAAACTATGTCCAAGCGAAAGGAAAAAAAAATCCTTAAACAGCATTCTTCCGTACAGTACAGAACATAGCATACAGTACTGGGGGAATGTACAGTCGAAGAAAGAGCCTATTGTGAAATAAAGGGTTTTAAATGTTATCATGATTTTAAAAATACATCAAATGACGCCGACATTATTGTTTTTAAAATTATTTTCTTACTTCTGTGTAATCTTTGCAATAATACCAATAACACATGCAAAACTTAGAAAAAGAGTATAAACATTTTTTGTTCTTTTGATTTAACATTTTAAACTTTATTTAATAATTTGTTTTATATAATATAATAAAAATGTAACAATGTGTAAAAAGAAATTAAGTTACAGACGAACAAAGTGTTATCTTAATTACAATATATTAAATATATTACGCTTATTTGTTCATATCACAATACAAAATTAAGAACTCACTTGTGCCAAAAAAGACAATAAAATACATTATAAAAAAACCCTACAAACGCCGGAGCGACTGTTGCTTCGCCCCCACCGAGGACCCTTCGCGTTCGCCTTGTCACCATCGCCTGACTCGGGCCCGTCGACCCATTCGTTACGCAACTGATTCTTTTTAGTTCCGCATTTACAATTCTCGCACCCCCAGCTGGGAACTATCCTACACCCCTGATAAAGCACCACAAACCACATGATTCAGTTCACTTGTGGGGTGTCCTGTTTCATATTTGTTTGTGCCTGTTTCTCGCTGTTTCTTTTATTGTAAAACATATACCGTAAATGAAATGAAAAAGTTTTGAAAAAAAATTACAGAATTACATGCAGTCTTACCTTACTTTCAACCATTTCCACCTCATTATCTGCTGAAAATTCTTCAAAACGTCTCTGTATGAATCAAACAGATTGTATTAACTTAAATAAAGTTGAGGATTTGTAATTAGAAATCCAGCACATACAATGAACACATTAAACAACGAACGTATCACATATTTTCACTTCTAACATTGTAGGTCTACTCAATTTGAAGAATACGTTAATCTTGAATCTGTCATAAGGAAGTGTGACTCTCTTGGAGTGGAGTTGAATAGCCTTGTTGCTTGTCTCCCAGGTCCTAAGTTTCATTATGATAGTTTATAAAGCATTTATATGAACCCTGTTAGAGAACAGGTAAACCTTAGGCCTAACTGTATTTCTCTTGAATATGGACCATTATTGATACTTTATTTATACTTTATTTGTCTCTTTGGTCTAGGGGTGTGTTTGTTCTGGCTAATTATTAGGCTAATTCTGGGTCGCTTCAAGTTTGGGCTGGAAAGAAAACGTGTGACAGTCCCAAAAAGAGGTTCGCGCTACACACGCCTTTGAATTAGCCCTTTAATATTTCCTTTAATATGATTTGTTTTTTAATATATTGGCAAACTCAACATGTCGTTTACTTATACTCCTTACTTTTTTTAATTCTTCGAGCTGTCTTTGAAGGTCACGATTTTCTTGCTTTAATGAGTCCTTTTCTTCTTCTTCATGACTTCTCTGGAAAATAATATCATCATGATACCGAGAGTTACTTATGCCAATAAAACATAAAACTATATACGGAGTCAATTAAACCACAAATGTGACAACGCCCACCTTGAAATGTAATAACGCCCTCAATAATGTAACAACACATATAAAACAGTTGGAATCAGTACAGCGGAGAGCTACTTGCATGATTTTAAGGAAAGGATATTTAGACCAGTCTTATCATGATAGAAGAACTGAGTTAGGCTTACTGTCTGTTGAGAAAAGGCGAGACTTTTTGAACATGACATTCATTGCAACTACTCATTTCTCCACGATCTGATTTTATGAGGGGTTATGTCGATTTATTTGAAATTAATAATAGGCATCAAGATATACTTACCTTCCATCATGCTAAAACTCGTACTGATGCGTTTAAATACTTGGGGGTAGTTAGATTTCCGAAAACCTTTTCTGAACTTAATGTTACTATAAGAAATAAGCTTATTGAGGAGCCATTTTTCATGTTTAAACAGAGTTTAAAGGATCATTTTACTGATTTTTAAATTTGCTATATTCTGCTTGACGAAATGTACTTGATTGGTTTTATCCATTTCTTATGATGATTCTGTAGATGACTTAATACTGTTTACGAAAGTTATAACTGTTTATAAACATTTATATATATTTTTTAAATAATTTTTTTATTGTATGTTTTTAAAATTTTAATATGTTGTTTTATTTATTTTTATTTATTCATTTATTTGCTTTTTTTTTTTTAAACTTTCGTTCATTTTAATGTTTAAACTTTTGTATTGTTTTGTTGGCAGGGGTTTGGTTAAGC